ACTATTAGACCTAGAATCTTTAAATGTTGTAAGAACAAATTTGACACTCATGTAAACATTTGAGTAATAAATTGACGGATTGGATATAGGGGCGTGGCCACTCACTTACATTTAATTATCTTCAAAAGAGCGAACTATAGCTTGATTATATGGACTGATGGTTAATCGGATGGACAATGAGTTTAAGCTGATTGATATACACTTTACGTTGGGTATAGGATCAATATTATTGTTCATAAATAGGATAGAATATAATTCTGATCCGATTGCTATATTTCCATATTGTGTTTTGTCTTATTTTGCTTAATTTACTTAAACTATAAATATTTTAAAGTTGTTTTTCTAATTAACTTTAAAATACAAAAATAATTAAATATTGAACCTAACAAAACACGCATGTACTTGAAGTGATAAACATGTGGATCAATATTGGCCATAGTATACTCTACAGTAGAAAATTTGGAATAATAGCTAGGATCTATAACGCTACGATCATCACATAAAGTCTTAAAGTAAAAGTAATTTTCGATAGTAACCTCTGAAGCGATTAAATTCGTTTTACTAGTTCCAGATAAATATAAATCTAATAATACGCTCCCTACTGGTTTGTTGTAGGGTATAGGTTAGGTTGATAGGAGGATGTATACTACATCAAATCCAAATAAATACACCTAAGCCACTGTGGGGCTGTAGGGTATAAAAACACGTTTTTGTTTATATTCGTGTTTAAAGAAATAAACAATAGAATTTTAGTATAAACAGTGTAGCTCATAATATATACAACAGAATTTAAATAATAACTACATATTGTTTATTTTATAAAAGAAAAAGTTAAAAGTATAAATAAGTAAATTTATAGATAAATAACAAAATCAAAAAATATATAAAATGACTCACTTGTTTTTGCTCATACTTTTAAAAACAAATATTTATACTAAATGTAGATTTATTTACAATTAACAACAGTAGGCAGTGAAGTAGAAATGAGAACAAATAATAACATTATAAGAAAAGTTGCCCTCTTACTCTGCCCTTCGTTTAAAATATCTAAATCGAACTACAACAATTTCTTTGGGGAGTTATAGAACAGTCAGTAAAGTAATTTATACTTAAATATAAAGTAAAATTCAGGAAAAGGAAGCAACAATTTATTTCTCTATATAGTTTTTTTTTCTTTTTGTCAAGTAAATGAGGTTAAAAAAAAGCAGGAAAAGAGCAGGAGCAAACTTTAGTAAAAAAAAATATCAAGCATATGTGTGGAAAAAAAGTATTATATTAGAGTTTGGGGGATAAAAAAAATGATAAAATGTTTTTAATATTGTGTCAAAAAGAGGAAACATTTAGGAGAATATATTTATAGAAAAAATAACACGTATACGTACGGTTGTCCCATTATTTAAATGTATGTATGTATGTATGTATATGTTTTTGTAATGATGTGTGGCATGACTGGTGGAGGTGGTGTTTAAAATATTGTTTATCATAATGTTTAAAAATTTATAAAAAAAATCTACATGTATTTTAATTTAGATTTTTTGAGAGTTTTATTCTCAAAATAAACTCAGTATACAGTATTGTTCAAAACCAACCAAGCTCAAGCATTTTTTTGCGTGAAATCCTGAAATAATTTGTAACTTTGTTAAAACCCATTTTACTCAATTACAAAAGTTTATATCTGGGACATAGACTAGTCAATACACTAGTCCAAGTAGACTAATTGATTAGTCAATAGAATAGTCTATAGACAAGTTAATAGATTGGTCAAATGACTTGTCAATAGACTAGACAATAAACAAATCAATAGACTATAGAAGTGACTAGTGCATAGCTAGTCAATAAATCAGTCTATAGTTTATAAACTAGTTCATAGACTAGTCATTATACTAATCAATTCATATATTAATCAATAGACTAGATCATAGACTAGTCCATAGACTAGACCATAAACTAGTCCATAGTATAGACCATAGACAAGGTCATAGACTAGACCATAGACTAGACCATAGACTAGATCATAGACTAGACCATAGACTAGACCATAGAGTAGACCATAGACTAGTCCATACCATAATCCATAGTCTATCGCATTGAAAAGTCAATGAATTATTATATAGATTAGCCCATAGACTATCGAACATATAATTCAATAGACTAGTCCATAAACTATCCATAACAAGTCAATAGTGAATATATGTATAATACCCTAGTGTATAGACTGGCTAATAGACGAATCAATGTACTAATAATAGGTCATAGACTAGTCAAAAGTCTACTTCGTATGCTAATCAATAGATAGGCTAGTCAAAGGACATGTCAAAAGTCTAGACCAAACAATAAGCTATTCCCTAGAATAATCAAAAGACCATTACAAATAACAATAAAAAGACTACTCCATAGACAAATCTATAGACTAGTCCATAGATTTATCCATAGAATGGAGTAGCGAATAGATTAGTCAATAGACTACTCAGTAGACAAATTAGCAGACTTGTTCATAGATACGTAATTGATAAGTCCGTACAATAGTTAATAAATTAGTCAATATATAAATCAATAGACTAGTCATAGACCCATCAATAGACTAGGGCTAGACCCATAATTAACTTCCTTCAAAAAATAATTTTTAATCAAAAACATAAGAATTTTCATTAAATATGTAGCAGTTTCATAAAAAAAAAAACACTTCAATAAAGAAAATAACAAAAATCTATTAAATTTTATGAAAAATCTAATTTTTGTATTACAATTAAAATTTAGTTTTTCATAAAATTTATATTTTTTTATAACTTAAAAACAAGAAAATAACAAAACAACACTTTCTCTGTACTTCCCCCTTTTTGTGGCTAATTTACTCATGCCACTGACAACTTTTGCTTTTGATTCTCTTTGCAATGAGAAAAATCAATTTTTTTATACAACAACAAGCAGCAAGAAAAAGAAAAAAAAAATAAGTAGTACTACTACCAGTAGATTGTCATTAAAATATGTTTTGATTTTTTATTTATTTCTTTAAATTAATTTATAAATTAAATTATTAAACTTACATGGATAAATGTTTAAGTAGTTGATTTTTGATAAGAGAAACCATTTTTAAATATTTTCTTTATTGCAAATTTTTTCCAAAACGCCTAGAATGTGTGTGTGTGTGTTTGTGTTTAAAGAAGAATCATTGAGCTTTGATTTTTTGCTGTTTTTATTATTAATTTACACTTTAGATTATTATTATTTTTTAAAACAATTAACTGCAGAAATCGCTACACAAAATTATTTAAAGGAATTTATATTTTATTTATTTAAAGTTGCTGTGTTGGTATTTTTGTTACTTATTTTGTTTTACTTTTTTTTATACACTCATTCACTTGCACACACAATTTCTTACATTATTATCAATTTTTTTCTTCTTATAATTTGATTTTTAATTTTTGCATTCAAGCCATTTTTTGTGTATTCTTTAATTGCTTATCTTTAGTAATTTCATATTTTAGTGATATTTATAATAGTATTTTTCTTTTTTTATAGCTTTTTATAAATTTTAAAGCATATTTGTGTAAATAATTGTATTACACAAAGAAAAAAATTTTGCACAAGAACTTTTTTTATTCGATTTTACTTTTACACTTGCTGCTCTATCTATCCGTTACACGAACCGTTCTCTTCGAATAACTAAACACAATTGTTCTTTTTCTCTTATTGGCTCAAGCAATAACATTACAATTTGACAGCTGATTTTATAAGAAAGCAAAAATAATCAAAAAAAGATATAATAAAACTTCATAGATGTAATTTTTATAATTAAAATATTAATAATGTACATATTTATATTAATTTTGCTTAGTGAAGAAGTTTAATTTTCTCGCGTAAACTGTTAAAAAATAAATTTGTTTTTAATTTAAATTTCTATCGTCGAATATATGGCCACCTCCTGTTTGTCATTCCATTTATTTATGTTGACGTTTGCAATTCTACCATAAAAGAGCATAGAATAGAAGAAAAGCGAAAATGGAAAAAGCTCATTAACCTTTATTTTTTAGTGACATTTATTTGTTTTTTGTTTTGGTTTGGTATTTTATTGTTAGCTATTCATAATCATCATCACAGCTGTGGTTTTGAAAGAGGGTAAAAACGAACGAACGAACGAAAACGAACGAACGAACGAACGAACGAACGAACGAAGAACGAAAAACGAACGAACGAACGAACGAAAAGAACGAACGAAACGAAAAGAACGAAAAAACGAACGAACGAAAGAACTAAAGACGAAGAAAGAACGAAAAAAGAACGAAGAAACGAAGAAACGAACGAACGAAAGAACGAACGAAAGAACGAACGAAAGAACGAACGAACGAACGAAAACGAAGAACGAAGACTAACGAACGAACGAACGAACGAACGAAACGAACGAACGAACGACGAAGAACGAACGAACGAACGAACGAACGAACGAACGAACGAACGAACTAACGAAGAACGAAACGAACGAACTAACACGAACGAACGAACGAACGAACGAACGAACGAACAACGAACGAAACGAACGAACGAACGAACGAACGAAACGAACGAACGAACGAACGAACGAAACGAACGAACGAACGAACGAACGAACGAACTAACGAACGAATAACTAACTAACTAACTAACTAACTAACTAACTAACTAACTACTAACTAACTAACTAACTAACTAACTAACTAACTAACTACTAACTAACTAACTAACTAACTAACTAACTAACTACTACTAACTAACTAACTAACTAACTAACTAACTACTAACTAACTAACGAACTAACTAACTAACGAAATAACGAACTAAAAAACTAACTAAGCTAATTACTACCCGATTTGCATTTATCAAATATTTATCTCAGTGTAAAACTATTTAACGTCCTTCTTTACTTCATTTAACATAAACAAACTCCTAAATATTACAACCCTGCATAAAGTTTGCAAACAACAAACATTACAAATAAAAAGAGAGCCCAACAAAGCAATTTAAGAGCAAAATTCGATACAGCTGTCAAATAACGGAAAACGTAAAGCAAAAACGAAAAAGGCAAAAAAAAGATTTTTTTATTGGTAAAACAAATTTGAAAATTTTATTTTCCAACACAGAGAAATTTTGAAAACACTAAAAATACTAATTTAAAACGGGATTATAACATGTCCCAAACGCCAGATGAATTGGTGCAAAGTGTCTGTGAAGTAACTGGAACGAATGAAGCAGAAGCCAAGCATTTGTTGGCAGCATGCAACAATGATGTTGAAGCTGCAGTAGCATTATTTTTTGAAGGAGGTGGTGTGGCCACAGCCACAGAAGATGCTGAGGCTAATTTGCCCCTAATCGACGATGATGATGGTGTGCGCGCACCTATAGCACCCATACGTGAACAATTGATTGGTCCAGAAGATGATAATTTCTATGCTGCCGCACCACCACCACCTACAGGACGTTTAGCACGCAGTGCCAGTAGACGCGTGAAGGTTTGTCCTTTGAGGGATTTTGCCCGAGAGGGAGCTTTAATGGAAGAACAACTGCAGGCTTCCGGCAGTTATGTGGCTTTGAATAATTTATATGAAACAGCCTCGAACAGTCGTGCCAGCTCTAGACGAAATCGTGCAGCTGATATGGTTACAGCAGCTCAAGCGGCTGAGCCCAAAAAGAGTCGTTTGGAAGATCTATATCGTCCACCGACTGACATAGCATATGCTGGCACCTTTCAGGCGGCACGTTCTCGCGCAGAAGCCCTAAAACAGTGGTTGCTGGTAAATGTACAGAGCGATAGTTTTGATTCGCAGCTGTTGAATCGTGATGTTTGGCCAGATAAGGCGTTGCGAAAGCTGATGAAAAGACAATTCCTATTGTGGCAGGTAGGTAAAGATCGTATAAAACCAAGGTTAATGAAACTTTGGGAGTACATATTAGAAAAATGTGTTATTTTGGAAAATCAATAGAAATCATAATTTCTTATTTTTTTAAATATTTATATTTTGGAAAGTATGAAATCATTTAAAGAAATGTTTAATATTAGCACTTCATTATTATTACGTAATACGGAAAGTTTTATAATTAGTTTCGTTAAATTTTCAGGTTGATTCTGATTCTTCCGAAGGTCGCCGATTTGTGGCTTTCTACCACTGTGCCAAGCTGCCGTATTTATGTGTCATTGATCCTCGCACCGGTGAGGAGATATGGAAAAGTTCAAATCCAAAACAATCTACCATACTCAATGATTTAAAACAATTTCTAATCGATCACAAGGACTTTAGCCAAGAGTTGGAAGATGATATGGGACCCTCAACCTCTACTAAACGTACGGCAACGGCCATTTGTCTGGACAGTGACGGTGAAGAAGCTGGTGGTAGCAAATTCAATATCGATGAGGATGAAGGCAACTCAAATGCCAGTAGTTCTTCCCATACAAATAAGGGTAATCCCAAGAAACGTAACAAAATTATGGAACTATCCGAAGAGGAACAAATTGCTTTGGCCATACGCAACTCAATGCAAGAGAATGGTGGTGCAGCTGCCAAACAACGCAAATCGAATGGTTCGGCCAGTAATGCCGAGTTGGGCGATGACGATGCGGCCAGTGATTTTGGCAGTGTTGAAGAATTCGTTGAGGATGACACCAAAAGTGCCTGTGAACGCACATCTTATGAAGAACAATTGGGTTCGAATAAAGACGAACTCACCATGCTTAAACTAAGACTTATCAATGCCGCAGGCGCCGATGAAGTTGTTCAATTACGTTGGCCTTCCGATACAAAATTGGAAGTGTTGCGCTCTTATATCACACAATGTCATTCTCATATTCCAAAATGTGGCTACAAATTGATTTGTGCTTTTCCACGTAAAACTCTGGAAACCGAAAATAATGACAGTACATTAAAGGAATTCGGTTTACATCCCTCTGCCAATTTACACATCACTTTAGATGACTAAAAACTCAACACTCAATCTCTCTTTTCAATCACTCACACATTTAACGTTGTCGTTCGTTACTATCATTGTTTTCTATAACTTTTTTTATTATTATTATTTTTTTTTTTCTTTTGTCTCATAGACGATAGAGTCGTCCTTAAGACTTCTTGTTTATTTTCCTATTCATTATATATTTTTCACTATTTTTTTTGTCTAATTTTAATTATTTTCTATGAATATATGTCTTTTTTAGCTTTTTTCCTATTTCTTTGTGTATGTTTATGATTGTTTGCCTTCCATTTTAAAGATGGTTGGAAGCATTATTTATTGTAGATGTTCACTTTGATATACATACAACAAACAACAATATTATTATTATAATTATTAAAGAAAAAATGAGAAAAATAAACATTTAATTAAGTCCATGTTAAGGTAAAAATTCCAAACATTAATAACAAAATATGTAGTGTTTTTATTTTTCATTTAAGCTTTGTGCAATGATTTGGTGGTGAAATTCGTTCGATTGTTCGAAGAAAATTTGATTTTATGGAGAAAAATTCGAGTTTCCAGTTTAGTTCTTTTTCACTTTTATTCCAGTTATGGTTTAGCTTTATTTCAGTTATAGTTCGGTTCTAGGTCTGTTCTATTTTAGTTCTTATTCACTTTATAGTTCAGTTCTAGCTTAGTTCTTTTTCACTTATAGTTCCGTTCCAGGTCAGTTCTAGTTCATTTCTGGTTCAACATTATTTTAGTTTTGGTTCGGTTATGGTTTAGTTCTAGGTCAGTTCTGTTCATTTTTAATTCCAGTTTAGTTCTTATTCACTTCTAGTTCAAGTTCAGTTCTATTCTTGTACTAGTTCAGTTCTAGTTCAGTTTTAGACCAGCTCAAGTTCAGTTTTAGTTCAGTTCTATGTCAATTCTAGTTCAGTTCTAGTTAAGTTCGAGTTCAGTTCTAGTTCAGCGCAGTTCCACTTCAGTTCTAATTCATTTCTGTTTCAGTTCTAGGTTATTTCTATTTCGGGTTAATCTTGTTCAATTCAGTTCCACTTTAGTACTTTCTCACTTCTATACTTCAAGTTCAATTCTTGTTCAGCTCTATTTCGGTTAAGTTCTAGTTCAGTTCTACTTCAATTCTAGTTTAGTTCTAGTTCAGTTCTAGTTCCAGTTCAGTTCTACTTCAGTTCTAGTTTAGTTCTAGTTCTGTTCTAGTTTAGTTCTAGTTCAGTTCTAGTTTAGTTCTAGTTCAGTTATAGTTCAGTTCTAGTTCAGTTCTAGTTCAGTTCTAGTTCAGTTCTAGTTCAGTTCTACTTCAGTTCTAGTTTAGTTCTAGTTCAGTTCTAGTTCAGTTCTAGTTCAGTTCTAGTTCATTTCTAGTTCATTTCTAGTTCAGTTCTAGTTCAGTTCTAGTTCAGTTCTAGTTCAGTTCTAGTTCAGTTCTAGTTCAGTTCTAGTTCAGTTCTAGTTCAGTTCTAGTTCAGTTCTAGTTCAGTTCTAGTTCAGTTCTAGTTCAGTTCTAGTTCAGTTCTAGTTCAGTTCTACTACAGTTCTAGTTCAGTTCTAGTTTAGTTCTAGTTCAGTTCTAGTTCAGTTATAGTTCAGTTCTAGTTCAGTTCTAGTTCAATTCTAGTTCAGTTCTAGTTCAGTTCTAGTTCAGTTCTAGTTCAGTTCTAGTTCAGTTCTAGTTCAGTTCCAGTTCAGTTCTAGTTCAGTTCTAGTTCAGTTCTAGTTCAGTTCTAGTTCAGTTCTAGTTCAGTTCTAGTTCAGTTCTAGTTCAGTTCTAGTTCAGTTCTAGTTCAGTTCTAGTTCAGTTCTAGTTCAGTTCTAGTTCAGTTCTAGTTCAGTTCTAGTTCAGTTCTAGTTCAGTTCTAGTTCAGTTCTAGTTCAGTTCTAGTTCAGTTCTAGTTCAGTTCTAGTTCAGTTCTAGTTCAGTTCTAGTTCAGTTCTAGTTCAGTTCTAGTTCAGTTCTAGTTCAGTTCTAGTTCAGTTCTAGTTCAGTTCTAGTTCAGTTCTAGTTCAGTTCTAGTTCAGTTCTAGTTCAGTTCTAGTTCAGTTCTAGTTCAGTTCAGTTCTAGTTCAGTTCTAGTTCAGTTCTAGTTCAGTTCTAGTTCAGTTCAGTTCTAGTTCAGTTCTAGTTCAGTTCTAGTTCAGTTCTAGTTCAGTTCTAGTTCAGTTCTAGTTCAGTTCTACTTCAGTTCTAGTTCAGTTCTAGTTCAGTTCTAGTTCAGTTCTAGTTCAGTTCTAGTTCAGTTCTAGTTCAGTTCTAGTTCAATTCTAGTTCAGTTCTAGTTCAGTTCTGTTCTAGTTCAGTTCTAGTTCAGTACTAGTTCAATTCTGGTTCATTTCTAATTCAGTTCCAGTTCAGTTCTATTTCAGCTCTTATTCGGCTCTTAGTTCAGTTCTGGTTCAGTTCTAGTTCAGTTCTAGTTCAGTTCTAGTTCAGTTCTAGTTCAGTTCTAGTTCAGTTCTAGTTCAGTTCTAGTTCAGTTCTAGTTCAGTTCTAATTCATTTCTAATTCAGTTGTAGCTCAGTTCTAGTTCAGTTCTAGTTTAGTTTCAGTTTAGTTCAGTTGAGTTCTAGTTAAACATTACTGGATATTCAAATGTTTTTTACGTAAGTATCACACTAATCCCTTTCGTAATCCTCATAATTCGAAAAAAGTTTTTCTCTTATTTTTTTATATTTAAAATATATTTATTTTTCATATTTTCAACATTTAAAAATATATACAGGATTTATTCTTTAAAAAATAAAATTCTTTAAAATTTTTAATAGTTGGTTGATTCTTTTGTATTGGTTGGTTCACTTGGGAGAAACGCCATATAATAATTCAGTTAGTTTTTCAGTTCGAATTTAGGTATTTGTGTTTTCTTTGTTTAGTTTTAAAACTAAATCTAAATCTATAAATATAGTATATAGAATATGTATATAATATGTAAGTATGTATAAAAAATAATCTAAAATTGAGCTTCTTAAAAACTATTAAAATTGTTTCTTTCTTTATGTTTTACTTTAAGAATCTAATAATAATGACATTTTATGTAAAAAAATAAAATGTTTCTAGGAAGTACTTTGTATTTAGGAGATAATTTCAAATGGAGGGTTTAATTTTTTAATTCTTTCTTTAATTGAGCACATGAACGAACAGTTTTTAAAAATATTTTGAAGATAAAACATTTTTTTTGTAACTTTTTTTTCTAAAAAGGTTTAAAAAACCTTAAATAAAGGAAGACTTACTTAACATTAGTTAAAAGAGAGCATAGAAAATGAAAAAAACTTTAAGACTTAGTATCTAAAAAGAAATTCAAAGTAACCAGACTAATGCAACCCAAAGCCCACATTAAAACAAAAGCCAACCAGTATATACTGCGAAAAGGACTTTGGTAATCATTGACCACACCACTGCCCAACAGTTCACGACAAGTATTGCGTGCATAATATACCAAAGCAATGGGTATTATATATTGTATACCGGCACCTGCATAACTGCCCGTAAAGGCCACTAGACTGGTTAAATTCTCCGTAAAGTAAGTGATGGCAAATGGTGGCACTATCGCCATTAGAGGAAATGAAATGCGTCTTACAAAGAAATTATATGACTCAAAACGTGTCATATCTAAGAATAAAGTTTGCAAATTATTACGCAATGTTATGGCTATAATGGGGAAACTGGCCGACAATGTAAACACGGGAAACAAAGCCAAAAAGTAATCTATCACCACCAGGAGTTCGGCCTTAAAACTATGGTCATCTGTTTGGTCTGGTATAAAATTCAATGTATACAAATCTTGCAAACGTTCAAATGCAAAGATACCAGTCATGGCCAGCAGTATGTAAAACAAACATATCACTATATAATCAGCACACAATATACGACGAACGGCCAGTTTATCACGTATGGGCGCCAGCAGACTGGGCAACGAATGATGGCACATAAACGAATAAACACAAGCACCAAATAAAGCGGGTACACCATAAATATTCATTGATACGGGATGACCTTTGGCACCTTCTGTTATAAGCAATTTCAATGCAATGGAGATCATGAATATAAAAGCTGTAAATTAAATGGAAAGTATATTGCAATAAATGAAGAAGAAATCTTTGTTTAATTAGTCACACTTACCACACCATCTAAAGATGACGGTGATAATTTGTAAATATTTTGTTTTTTGTACACTAAATGCAACAAATGGTCCAAAGATGACAGTGAATCCAACCAGAAATAAGCGATACACATCAAGACGTGTAAGATTATGAGTTTTCCAACATTGTTGTACGGCATCGTCGGTGTCATTACTGGACCCAATCAAATTTAATGCATCAATACTGAGATCATGATCGGTGAAATTGTTTGGATTTTGATGATCACTAAAAATTGGAGTTCATAAGAAATATAAAAAACTTTAACATTTTTCTTTCTTCTAGTTCAGTACTAATTAATATATTAATTGCTTGTTGTCGAACATCAAATGTATTAGATATTTTTCGTCGCGCTTCCATTCTGTTTATAAAAATAATTACATATTTTAATTACTGTTTCCATTTTCATTGCCTCATTGATTTGATTTCTTTTATCACTCTAGCACTGCCTAATAAAATCAGAACAATTGATTGGTTCACTTAAAATACAATATATAAATATGTTCCCTAAAAACCAATTTATCAAAAACATGTGTCTTTTGACCTTGAAATATTTTTATTAACAAATAATTTAAAAATAATTTGTTTAAATGCGATTAAATGTAATTGAACTCTTAAGAGTAATAACATGTGGAAATAAATAATAGCACATTAAAATCCAAAATGCTTTCTTTAGAGAATCGAGTTCAATTTTAAATGGGAACAAATTGACTTAAACTTCAATTCTAGTACAGTTCTAATTCAGATCTAGTCCATTTTTGTTCAGTTCTAGTTCAGTACTAGTTTAGATCTAGTTCTGTTCTACTTCAATCCTATTTCAGTTCTATTTTAGTTATGGTTCAGTTTTAATTCAATTCTGTTCTGATTCAGTTCTACTTCCATTCTATTCAGTCCTACTTCAGTTCTAGTTTAGTTCTAGTTCTAGTTCAGTTCTAGTTCAGTTCTAGTTCAGTTCTAGTTCAGTTCTAGTTCTAGTTCAGTTCTAGTTCAGTTCTAGTTCAGTTCAGTTCTAGTTCAGTTCTAGTTCAGTTCTAGTTCAGTTCTAGTTCAGTTCTAGTTCAGTTCTAGTTCAGTTCTAGTTCAGTTCTAGTTCAGTTCTAGTTCAGTTCTAGTTCAGTTCTAGTTCAGTTCTAGTTCAGTTCTAGTTCAGTTCTAGTTCAGTTCTAGTTCAGTTCTAGTTCAGTTCTAGTTCAGTTCTAGTTCAGTTCTAGTTCAGTTCTAGTTCAGTTCTAGTTCAGTTCTAGTTCAGTTCTAGTTCAGTTCTAGTTCAGTTCTAGTTCAGTTCTAGTTCAGTTCTAGTTCAGTTCTAGTTCAGTTCTAGTTCAGTTCTAGTTCAGTTCTAGTTCAGTTCTAGTTCAGTTCTAGTTCAGTTCTAGTTCAGTTCTAGTTCAGTTCTAGTTCAGTTCTAGTTCAGTTCTAGTTCAGTTCTAGTTCAGTTCTAGTTCAGTTCTAGTTCAGTTCTAGTTCAGTTCTAGTTCAGTTCTAGTTCAGTTCTAGTTCAGTTCTAGTTCAGTTCTAGTTAGTTCTAGTTCAGTTCAGTTCTAGTTCAGTAGTTAGTTCAGTTCTAGTTCAGTTCTAGTTCAGTTCTAGTTCAGTTCTAGTTCAGTTCTAGTTCAGTTCTAGTTCAGTTCTAGTTCAGTTCTCAGTTCTAGTTCCAGTTCTAGTTCAGTTCTAGTTCAGTTCTAGTTCAGTTCTAGTTCAGTTCTAGTTCAGTTCTAGTTCAGTTCTAGTTCAGTTCTAGTTCAGTTCTAGTTCAGTTCTAGTCAGTTCTAGTTCAGTTCTAGTTCGTTCTAGTTCAGTTCTAGTTCAGTTTCTAGTTCAGTTCTAGTTCAGTTCTAGTTCAGTTCTAGTTCAGTTATAGTTCAGTTCTAGTTCAGTTCTAGTTCAGTTCTAGTTCAGTTCTAGTTCAGTTCTAGTTCAGTTCTAGTTCAGTTCTAGTTCAGTTCTAGTTCAGTTCTAGTTCAGTTCTAGTTCAGTTCTAGTTCAGTTCTAGTTCAGTTCTAGTTCAGTTCTAGTTCAGTTCTAGTTCAGTTCTAGTTCAGTTCTAGTTCAGTTCTAGTTCAGTTCTAGTTCAGTTCTAGTTCAGTTCTAGTTCAGTTCTAGTTCAGTTCTAGTTCAGTTCTAGTTCAGTTCTAGTTCAGTTCTAGTTCAGTTCTAGTTCAGTTCTAGTTCAGTTCTAGTTCAGTTCTAGTTCAGTTCTAGTTCAGTTCTAGTTCAGTTCTAGTTCAGTTCTAGTTCAGTTCTAGTTCAGTTCTAGTTCAGTTCTAGTTCAGTTCTAGTTCAGTTCTAGTTCAGTTCTAGTTCAGTTCTAGTTCAGTTCCAGTTCAGTTCTTGTTCAGTTCTAGTTCAGTTCTAGTTCAGTTCTAGTTCAGTTCTAGTTCAGTTCTAGTTCAGTTCTAGTTCAGTTCTAGTTCAGTTCTAGTTCAGTTCTAGTTCAGTTCTAGTTCAGTTCTAGTTCAGTTCTAGTTCAGTTCTAGTTCAGTTCTAGTTCAGTTCTAGTTCAGTTCTAGTTCAGTTCTAGTTCAGTTCTAGTTCAGTTCTAGTTCAGTTCTAGTTCAGTTCTATTTCGCTTTTAGTTCAGTTTCAATGTTATTATGGTAATTATGGGGAAAGGTTAATAAATATTTTACATGTCCTAATCCCTTGGTACTAAATAATCTTTATCTAAAATCGTTTACCTGAATTATGCCTAAATTCTTGTACTAATAGCAGATGTATTTAATATGGAAAATCCTTGTGCGTAAATTAGCATTGACGATTAGGTAGGATGTATGTTGAAAAACAACAACAACTAATAATATTTGTGTAAATGATTTGTTAAAATCTTGGATTTTGTTACATTCTGAGGTCTATCTTTTTAGTAAATTTAAATAATTTGCCATTTATTAAAAAGCAATTTAATACATTAGTATAATAACTTAAGTTATTTTTAATCAGAATCATTTGCAAATTATAAAAAAGTTTGATATTAAACTCTTTAATAAAAATTAGTTTTGTTTGTTATCCTCTAAAATTGGCTATTTCACAATAATTGCTTTCTAGTTTCAAAAAATAATTCCCATATTTTAGTGAAATCTACTGATAGTATTTTAACTTTAAATGATTTTTTTCGCACTTATACAGTTAGTAAATAAGTGCTAATTAAAAGCCATATTATCCAATGTACACAAATTAGGTTTTTGGATATTTTACATATATTTAGATTTATCATAGGTAAACACAGATATTTGAATCATCAAATGTATAGGATTAAATCTATAACGAAATCAATGCTTTTGTATGATGTTTTCAAACATATCCCAAACACAAGTAGTAAGCCTCCTATAAATGAAATCATTGACCTAGTCTATTATTATATACATTTCCCTGGAGTTTCCAAAATTTCTAGGCCAACTTTCAAAATATTTCTTTTAAACACTTGTATACACAACAAACTCCATGACGAAGATAATATAAATAAAAAATACAAAAACACTTTCATAACCAAGCAGTACATTTACTTACCAAAACAAATCACGCAAACTTTTGGCAACAGCAGCTGAATAAATGCTCAAATCACCATACAGATAAATAGAAATGCAAAGATAGAAGAATACTCGACCGAAATCATTGAAAAACAAAGTAGCCATTTCACCCAATTCAAATTTGTCATCTAGTTTATAGTAGACCAAAGTGGAGCCATGAGCATAGAGAGGCATACGTTCCAGACGTGCGCTAGCATCATGACTGGGTGGTAATAACGAGGCCGAGGGATCATCTGTATCAAAATCAGCTTCATCTACGGAAGCCGATGCTGAGGGCAAATCTTCGCGGGAATCAAACTTTAAAGGAAGAAAATGATAAAAGTTTCAAATTAATTAGATTTTGTGTTATTTGCTTAAAACTAAAAGTTTTCGTTTGTGTATTTTAAATTGGGAACAGGGTGCCTACATCGTAACTACGTTTAAGAACCTGTAAATTTTGCCACGTTTTCACTGCATTGGCGGCGGCCATGGCTTCAATGATGAAAGTCACCGTTATATAGGATATAATGGCCAATAAAATTATTATAATCAGGGAGAGAAACCAGCCAGCTTTAGCAAAAACACCGGGCAAAGTAAGGGCACCAGTGCCCACTATCAAATTGAAGATGAATATGAAACCCACCTGAAAGAAAAAGCAATTAATTTAGTAGTTATTATTATATTGTCGAATAGGTAGCATTGTTGCTATTAACTCCATTCAATGAGCTGCGGGTAGTTGTTCGTATATTTTCAGGCATTTTAACACTTGCCACACAGTCCACTTAATTAATATTTTTACTCTGTGGAGATAGTTATGGGCTGCTGTGATTCACCGTTTATAAAAGATAAATGCGTTTTGATATTTTCAACTTTCCTTCATGACCATTGCCCCGTATAATTTTCCTTAGTTTTTTGTCTTTTGTGCGTTTGCTATTGTGATTGTCTTCCACAACTCTACTTCGGTTTGCCCGCTGTAATCTGGACTAGCTTATCGCTGCTGTCGTAGTTCTGTAGTGAAATTTTTTCACAATCTTTTTTTTTTTTGTATTTCGCCGATTTTTCTTTGTTATTTTAGTAATGGTATACAAATTGTTTTTGCATTTTGTCTTCTGCTTTGCTTACTGTTTTTATTTACATCAAAAAATTTTTTTTTCACTCTCTTTCATTATCTATACATCTTCTATTGCAATTTAGAGATGTCATTTATGTGAGTTATCGTTTTCTTAACAGACAGAGTTGTCAAAGAACAAATCGAATAAAAATAGCTAAAAAGTAGGGTTCTATAAATCGACTTTCGAATAATCGAACAATCGACTTTTGTCGAAAAAAAGTCGAAAAGTCGAAGTCGACTATTTTGTTCCAAAAAAGTCGATAACTCGACTATCGTCTATGAAAAAAGTCGAAAAGTCGACTTTGTAAATAAAAGTCGAAAAAAGTCGAAAAGTCGGAAAGTCGAAAAAAATCGAAAAGTCGAAAAGTCGAAAAAAGTCGATAAGTCGAAAAAAGTCGAAGAAAGTCGAAAAAAGTCGAAAAGTCGGAAAAAGTCGGAAAAAGTCGAAAATAGTCGAAAAGTCGAAAATAGTCGAAAATTTTAAAAAAGTGGAAAAGAGGTCAAAAACTCTAAAATAGTCGGAAAAACTCGAAAAAAGTAAAAAATAGTCGAAAAAAAGTCGAAAATAGTCAAAAAGTCGTAAAAAATCGAAAAGTCGAAAAGTCGGAAAAAGTCGAAAAGTTGAAAAAAGTCGGAAAAAGTCGAAAAAAGTCGAAAAGTCGAAAAAAGTCGGAAAAAGTCGGAAAAAGTCGAAAAGTCGAAAAGTCCAAAAAAGTCGGAAAAAGTCGAAAAGTCGACCATTTATAAAATACTAAAAGTCGAAAAGTCTAAAAGTCGACTTTTAAATAAATGAAAAAGGTCGAAAAGTCGAAAAATCGACTTTTCATAAAATGGAAAAAGTCGAAAGGTCGATAAGTCGACTTTTAACTAAATGCAAAAAGTCGAAAAGTCGACTTTTCGTTTCAACTATAGAACCCTACTAAAAAGGGAATAACAAAATGAAAACAAATAAACTTTTTCGATTCAAATACGGTTTTAAAGAAATGTATGTATATGTATTTTTAAAACAATTAAATTTATCGAAAACTTTCTATAAATAGAAGATTCATAAAACTTGTTCTATAAAAATAAAATTTAGTTAATATTTCCTATTCTATTAAAAGAATATTCAGTAAAAATTTTATTTAAAATGAAAATTCATCGATAATTTTCTAAAGAAAATAAAATTTATCGAAAATCTTATACATAAAAGAAAATTTTCACTATAAATATAAATGTTATCGAAAATTTTCTCCATAAAAAAAGAAAGTTGCCAAAAATTCTCTCTATGAAAAGAAAAGTTATCGAACACATTCTATTTAAAAAGAAAAATTATCGAAAACTTTCTCTATAAAAAGTGAAGTTATTGATAATATTCTCTATAAGAAGAAAAGTTATAGAAAATTTTCTCTATAAAAAGAAAAATTATCGAAAATTTTCTCTATAAAAAGAAAAGTTATTGATAATTTTCTTTATAAAAAGAAAGTTTATCGAAAAATGTCTCTATTAGAAGACTTTATTTTCTTTTTAGTTATCGATAAATGTTCTCTATTAAAAGAAGATTTAAAGAAATTTTAAATTTTGTTAATAAATACTAAGTGGAGTCAATTTTTCATTTGACTAAAGTCTAGTCTATAGTCTGGAATATAGTTTATAGTGTAATCTACAGTGTTGTCTATAGTGTAGTCTATAATGTATTCTATATTGTAGCCTATAGTGTAGTCTGTAGTGTAGTCTATATGGTAGTCTGTAGTGTAGTCTATATGGTAGTCTATAGTGTAGTCTATAGTGTAGTCTACAGTGTAGGCTATTGTATAGTCTATAGTCTAGTCTATAGTCTAGTCTATAGTCTAGTCTATAGTCTAGTCTATAGTCTAGTCTATAGTCTAGTCTATAGTCTAGTCTAGTCTGTCTATAGTCTAGTCTATAGTCTAGTCTATAGTCTAGTCTATAGTCTAGTCTATAGTCTAGTCTATAGTCTAGTCTATAGTCTAGTCTATAGTCTAGTCTATAGTCTAGTCTATAGTCTAGTCTATAGTCTAGTCTATAGTCTAGTCTATAGTCTAGTCTATAGTCTAGTCTATAGTCTAGTCTATAGTCTAGTCTATAGTCTAGTCTATAGTCTAGTCTATAGTCTAGTCTATAGTCTAGTCTATAGTCTAGTCTATAGTCTAGTCTATAGTCTAGTCTATAGTCTAGTCTATAGTCTAGTCTATAGTCTAGTCTATAGTCTAGTCTATAGTCTAGTAGACTATAGTCTAGTCTATAGTCTAGTCTACAGTGTAGTCTATAGTGTAGACTATAGTCTAGTCTATAGTCTAGTCTATAGTCTAGTCTATAGTCTAGTCTATAGTCTAGTCTATAGTCTAGTCTATAGTCTAGTCTATAGTCTAGTCTATAGTCTAGTCTATAGTCTAGTCTATAGTCTAGTCTATAGTCTAGTCTATAGTCTAGTCTATAGTCTAGTCTATAGTCTAGTCTATAGTCTAGTCTATAGTCTAGTCTATAGTCTAGTCTATAGTCTAGTCTATAGTCTAGTCTATAGTCTAGTCTATAGTCTAGTCTATAGTCTAGTCTATAGTCTAGTCTATAGTCTAGTCTATAGTCTAGTCTATAGTCTAGTCTATAGTCTAGTCTATAGTCTAGTCTATAGTCTAGTCTATAGTCTAGTCTATAGTCTAGTCTATAGTCTAGATAGTCTAGTCTATAGTCTAGTCTATAGTCTAGTCTATAGTCTAGTCTATAGTCTAGTCTATAGTCTAGTCTATAGTCTAGTCTATAGTCTAGTCTATAGTCTAGTCTATAGTCTAGTCTATAGTCTAGTCTATAGTCTAGTCTATAGTCTAGTCTATAGTCTAGTCTATAGTCTAGTCTATAGTCTAGTCTATAGTCTAGTCTATAGTCTAGTCTATAGTCTAGTCTATAGTCTAGTCTATAGTCTAGTCTATAGTCTAGTCTATAGTCTAGTCTATAGTCTAGTCTATAGTCTAGTCTATAGTCTAGTCTATAGTCTAGTCTATAGTCTAGTCTATAGTCTAGTCTATAGTCTAGTCTATAGTCTAGTCTATAGTCTAGTCTATAGTCTAGGTCTATAGTCTAGTCTATAGTCTAGTCTAGTCTATAGTCATAGTCTAGTCTATAGCTATAGTCTAGTCTATAGTCTAGTCTATAGTCTAGTCTATAGTCTAGTCTATAGTCTAGTCTATAGTCTAGTCTAGTCTAGTCTAGTCTAGTCTAGTCTATAGTCTAGTCTAGTCTATAGTCTAGTCTAGTCTAGTCTAGTCTAGTCTAGTCTAGTCTAGTCTAGTCTAGTCTAGTCTAGTCTAGTCTAGTCTAGTCTAGTCTAGTCTAGTTAGTCTAGTCTAGTCTATAGTCTAGTCTAGTCTATAGTCTAGTCTATAGTCTAGTCTATAGTCTAGTCTATAGTCTAGTCTATAGTCTAGTCTATAGTCTAGTCTGTAGTCTAGTCTATAGTCTAGTCTATAGTCTAGTCTATAGTCTAGTCTATAGTCTAGTCTATAGTCTAGTCTATAGTCTAGTCTATAGTCTAGTCTATAGTCTAGTCTATAGTCTAGTCTATAGTCTAGTCTAGTCTAGTCTAGTCTAAATTTTCTCTATAAAAGAAAAGTTATCGAAAATTTTTTATATTAAAAGAAAGGTTATCGAAAAATTTCTCAACCAAAATCTCTATAAAAAGGAAGGTTGGCGGTAATTTTCTCCATAAAAATAAAATTTATAAAACGTTTTCTATTTGAAAAAGGTTTATCGAAAAATATTTTTTTAAAAATTTTCTTCAAAAAAAAAGTTTTTTATAAAAAGAAAATTTATCGTTGTTTTATAACGATCGATTAATAATAATCGATTTTTTTCAAAGAAACGTTATTTTTAAAATTCCTTTGCATGAATGTTTTTAAGTTATCGTATTTTTTTATAATACAAAAAAGTTACAACCCTGTGTTAATGTCAAATTTCTTTAATTCTCTTTCTATATTTTTCTTTTTTCCAACCGGCTGTTTCTTGTCATTGTTTTCTATTTATTTTTAAAGTGTGTTCCTAAAGTTAATAAAAACCATGTCAAAACCCATAACATTTGTTACCGGTAATGCTAAAAAACTGGAAGAATTAGTGGCCATCTTGGGTCCCAACTTTCCACGTCCGGTAATATCTAAGAAAATCGATTTACCCGAACTGCAAGGCGAAATAGAAGAAATTGCTGTTAAGAAATGCAAAGAAGCCGCACGTCAGGTGGATGGTCCCGTATTAGTGGAGGACACATGTTTATGTTTTAATAGCCTTAAGGGATTACCCGGTAGGTGAATAGGTGTTTTCTAATTGAAAAATGCCACTTATAATACAATTATAGGTCCCTATATCAAATGGTTTTTGGAAAAACTACAACCTGAAGGTTTACACAATCTATTGGCCGGTTGGTCAGATAAATCCGCTAAAGCTGTGTGTACTTTAGCTTTTTCTGAGGGCCAAGACTCAGAACCTATAATATTCCAAGGCATTACAGAGGGTAGTATTGTCGAGCCACGCGGTAGTCGTGATTTTGGTTGGGATCCCATATTCCAGCCTACTGGCTATGATTTGACTTATGCTGAATTACCTAAAGAGGAAAAGAATAAGATTTCTCATAGATTTAGAGCACTGGATGCTTTCCAAAAGCATTTTGGTGTTACGAAGTAGATTTTAAGTTTATTTTTGATATAAAAATTGTATTTTGAATACAATTCCAAAAAAAAGTAAAACCAAATAAATTTATTTTTGAGAAACTTGTTTGCGAGATTTATCAATATTTCCTTAAAAAGGAAAATAATATCAAAAATTTTCTATAGAAAGTAAATTTAAGGAAAATTTATTAACTTTTGCTCTAGAAAGAAATTTTCTACAGAAAACATAATAAAAACAAAAACACTATTTTTTTTCTGAATAAATAAAAATTTTATTTTTATTATTACTTGGCATTTTAATACACAACATCAGTATGTACACAGTAAAAATTGTAAGGATTTTTTTTCGTTTTTTTTTCCACAAATTGTACGCATAAAATAATTTGAGATTTATTACATTTTTTTTTATAAATTTACTTAAGACATTATGTAGTGTGATGAAGGCTTATTTTCATAAATACTGTAAAATCTAAAAAGAAAGATAAAATTGCTTAAATGTTAGAAACACATATTACACACATTAGAATAATTAATTTAAGGTAAAAGTTTTTCCTCATCTGGATGAGGTTGATGAGAATTGGTAACAATTTTAATGGGTCCTGCAGAGTTGGAGGCTTTCTTAGGATCGTAACCGTATAAAAATATCGAAGCAATGACCAATGCGGCACCAAAAGTAAATTGTAAAGTTAAATTAAAGTTGAAAATATAAATAGAAGCCACACAGGAGATGATAATGGCCAGGGAGGTGGCAAAACCTTTTAAAATATTATCGGCATATTTGACCACAACGGCTACAATTAAACCACCGCCTGCTTGTAGGAATATTAAGTACCAAATGAATAAATCATAACCGAAGAAGAAACCTTGATCGAATATCTTAGTAGAGTCACTAACGAAACAGGTAATGGTACCAAATGGTATGCTTAATAAGGACAATTGAACATTACGCATCCATACTGAGATATCGGCTCCCTTAAGAATCTTTTCAAAGTAAATACCAGCAAAACCGGAAAGGAAACAAGCACCCAAAGCTGCTAGCAAACCCAATAAAGGTTTCTGTTCTGGTCCGCTAGTGGAAGCGGCTGCTGCTGCTGCTGCACCTTCTGTTACCGTTTGAGCCAATTGTACGAGTATAACACCAACTAGCAGTAATACCAAAGCTCCCCACTGTGTGGTTAATAGTTTTTTGCGTAATATCACTACAGCAAACATGGCGGTTGTTAAAATTTTCAATTGATATGTCACTTGATAGGTGGCTGCATCTAAATGTGAGGCCGATACATAGAGTAGATTATTTTGTACAATATACACCAAAGAGGGTACACAAACTTTAAGTGTATCCATGGGATTGGCGATAATAGTTTTATGTAGAGATTTAAGGAACTTCTGTACATCTTTACCCTCTTCATTGAATACGAGAAAGAGACAGGTGACAAGTTTAACCACTTCGGACATGAGAACGGCTGAAATTTAAGATATTAAATATGAAATTTTAAAGAAAAAGTTAAATTTAGAGCAAATTTTCTTAAAAAAAAATTTTAGCGAAAAATTTTCTATAAAAAGAAAATTTAACGAAAATCTTCTATAAAAAAGAAAATTTAGCGAAATTTTTCTAAAAAAGAAATATAAGTTAACATCAGTATAAAAAGTTGAAAACCATTAATATTTTGTATAAAAATAATTAAAAACAAGTAAGAAATTATAGTCGGGCGAGGCCGACCATATAATACCCTACACCTGTTACAAAAATGAAATGTGATTTTGTTTTCATAATAAAGCATTGTAGTTGAATTGTACCTTGCCTCAGATATACTTAAGCCATTTATTGTTGAATAAAATTGTGGACATTTAAGTCAAATTTTGAAGAGGGCTTTGTATAGGTGCTATGGTCAAATGAGACCCTATAATTATAAAATTCATGAGAGTCATCAAGGCTAGTATAGCACTTGGTTTTGCAGCTTTTTGTTGAGATACGAGTATATTAAACATAATTATGAATTTAAAAGCCCTATTCGTCGGGTTGGGGGCTAGGTGAAATAATGGACCGATGTTAACCATTTTTAATTGGCTTTGTCTCCGGTACCATAGAAGATCATGTGCCAAATTTCGTTGAATTATCATCAAAATTGCGACCTGTAGTTTGATTACAAGGTCTACAAGCCCTATACAGGTGTTCAGTTGTATGGGGGCTAGTTGAAATAATGGACCGATGTTATCCACTTTCAATAGGCTTTGTCTCCGGTGCCATAGAAGATCATGTGCCAAATTTCATTGAATTATCATCAAAATTGCGACCTGTAGTTTGATTACAATGTTTACAAGTTCTATTCAGGGGTTCAGTTGTATGGGGGCTAGGTGAAATAATGGGCCGATGTTAACCATTTTCAATAGGCTTTATCTCCGGTACTATAGAAGATCATGTGCCAAATTTCATTGAATTATCTTCAAAATTGCGACCTATAGTTTGATTAAAATTTTTACAAGCCCTATTCAGGGGTTCAGTTGTATGGGGGCTAGGTGAAATAATGGACCGATCTTAACCATTTTCAATAGGCTTCGTTCCTGGGACAATAGAAGATCATGTACCAAATTTCATTGAATTATCTTCAAAATTGCGACCTGTAGTTTGATTACAAGGTTTACATGGACGGACAGACGGACGGACATAGCTAAATCGACTCAGAAAATGATTCTAAGCCGATTGGTATACTTTAAGGTGGGTATAGGACCAATATTATTGTGCGTTACAAACATCAGCACAAACCCAATATACCCTCCCCACTAAAGTGGTGTAGGGTATAAAAATTACACTCAACTTTAAGTGCTTGTAAAGAAAACCAAAGATATCATATAAATTTATCAATGCTAAAAAAAATAGTAGATAACAAACAGCATTGTACAATTTTTCTTTGAAAGAAATAAAAAGATATCAAGTACATAGAGATTCGTCTAAAAATGTTGAAAAAAACACGTTTCAAATAAATATTTGCAGAAAAAAAACCATATGTACTTGAATAAATGCTGAACATTTAGCGAATAAAGTAAATATGTATGTATTTACTTTGGCATTGATGAATTTTTTATGGGTATCTATTATTGAGGTTTTTGGGGGGTATTTATGATCTTAGGAATAATATTAAAAAAGAGAAGAAATCTGAAGAATTTTGTTTTTGTTTTAGAAGAAAATACTATTATAATTTGTTAATATTCTATGAACTATACATTATTTGTTTGTCTGTCCCCTTAAACCTTACATTATCGGTTAGTAAGAAACAATCGAATGTAACTTCTCTCATTTTCTGCTTGATCTACAATATTCCGGAGTGGTATTTGTATATACATATAGTAGTCGTAGAAATGATGGGGAAGATACAGGTACAGATACAGAAAAAGCGTTCAAAGTTTCCTTTCAGTTTCAGATCAAGATCGCTATTCAAATTGGAATTTCAAAATCCTTAACAAAATCTATCCAAATCTAATTATAAGTTTAAAAACATTTCAATACATCAAACCATCTACTTCAGTAGGTCTATTCCCCATTTGCTCCTTTCCAGCAACAAACAAAAGATTCTCTTTAACACCTGATAAGTAAAACCAAATATATTCAACTTTTTTAAGTAGCACGTCTAAAACATACATTCATCCAAACACCAAGTGTTGATGTCAACACTTTACTCCCTTTGCTATCAACATAACAATATAACACTCACCCGTTGAACTTAGAAAAATATCGCCCGGTCTGGTGCGGGCATAACGCATGGATAAACCCAAAATGGCATTTTGTAAAGTTAATGTAATTAAACTAATATATTTTAAATGATTGGCATTCACTGCAAATAGAAAGAAAATACACTATTTAATCCATTTTACTAAACAATAATTAAATTTTCTAAAAAGTTAAACGCTTCACTTACTGTGAATATTCATTTTGTCTACAAAAAAAAACCTTCTGCAGCCACACACACACACACTTTTCTTTAGCTTAAAGTTTGTTTTAGATAAATTTTCGTTTATGTTATTTTAATTATTTATAAAATAAACATTTTACAAATTATTTTAAATATTTTCGTTTATAAACTAAATAAAATTAAAGTTTTTTTTTAATAAAATAAAAGGTTGAAAAAGCAATTTAATTGTTATACTTCCACTTTATTCAACCACTTTAGTCTTTTTGACGTGCTACTCCAACAACTCTTTTTTTTATTAACATCCACGTAAACAAAAAAACAAAAATACACAGATATTTGAAATTGGTGGCAAAAGAAGAAAATACAAAAACAGAGTATTTAACAGGGATGGCAAATAAAATTTGACATATTGTACAAAATTTGTAATTTTTAAAATTGGATGGTAGAAAATTAATATTTTTTGGCGAATTTATATCAATATAAAGCAATTTATATCAATATGAATAATTTTTTTATAATATATGCAGTGAATTAACTAAGTTTTTGCCTACCATTTTTTAAGAGAATTTTGTTTTTTGTTCATAAATAAAATTCAAAAAAAAAAAAAAAAAAAAAAAAAAAAAAAAAAACAGGTAAAAAGTAAATTTATGTTTTCCAATTGAAAATAGAGATTGTGTAGAATGGGAAAACCAAGAAAAAGATATTAAATAAAAATGTTGGTGCATTTGTTGTTGCATTTTATTATTTTTCACCAGAATTTGCACGTCAATAAAGTATTTTGCATATTGAAAATTCCAGTTAACTTCGTTGGGTTTTTCAATTTATTTTTTAATTGCTTTTTGGAATTTATTGTTTTATTGTTAAAAGGACACGTGTTAAGTATTTTTCAATTGTAATTTTCAAAAATCATATCCTCATTGTGTGAAACTGTGTAGTTATTTGCGTCAAAAATGTTTAAAGGGAAATAATGAGGCAATTCCAATATAAAAAATTAGTTTAGATTTTTAGAACAAGTGTAAATCAATGAAATTCAATTATGAGATGTTTAATCAATCATTAAAAAATATAAAATATAGAAATTCATGAAATAACACAAAGAATTATTAAAAAAACGCACTGAGTTGTCTTTCAAAATCTTTAACTGCCAAAGGAGAGCGACTTGTATCCAAGCAAAAACCATTGAAGTCCTCATTTTCTT